AAGAAGAACCAGGAGTTGTTGGATATGATGCGACGTCTGTTCCCGCATGAGTTTTAGTCGGTTTTTATTTGTTTTTTAAAACTTTGTATTCTACTTTTAAAACTTAAAATATTATCAGATGTTTTTTTATTTCAATTTTAGTTTATATTTTAAATTAATTATTATATAAATATTTATTAAAAACAATTAATTATTTTTTCTTTTATTTTTTTTTTAAAAATAGGAATTTCCGAGGAAGAGCATCCCTCGGAATATTCCGACGGAACGTTTCCTCGGAATATTCCGACGGAACGTTTCCTCGGAATATTCCGACGGAAAGCTTCCTCGGAATATTCCGATGGAACGTTTCCTCGGAATATTCCGAGGGATGCTCTTCCTCGGAATATTCCGATGACTCTCCCCGTCGGAATATCCATCGGAATATCCCGAGGAAGCAGCCGTCGGAATATTCCGAGGAAACGTTCGTCGGAAATATTCCGACAATTATGTCCGACGAAGTATCTGTAGGGATTGTCCGATGGAACGTTGTCCCTCGTAATTTCGTCGGAATGTTGATCCATCGGAAGTCATCGGAATTTCGTCGGTGTGTCTGACGAAATTCCGAGGAAATATTTTTTTCCGACGAAATAATTCCGACGACCTATTTCCTCGGAATGTCCTCGGAATACGTCTATTCCGACGATATTCCGAGGAAATTGGCCCTCGGAATATCGCTGTTTTCTTGTAGTGATTTCAATTTTATTTATTAGTTCCAAAACCAAGACAAACCCGAACTAAAACTGATTAAAACATGATCGATTTGGAATAGAAAGTATACACCTTTCTCAAATTTGGAAGCATTAGCGTCAACACCAATGATCCTCGAAGCTCCTCTTGCCCTTGCACCCTCAGCAACCTTCAGTTCCCATTCATAAAATATATTGATAAATACTCTTTCCGTTATATGAAGATAGTAGTTGTGAGATTTTCATTTTTTTCACAGAAATAGTAATTTTGTGTTTTCAGTGTAACTTTATATTTTTTTCTCATTTCTTTCCGTTTTAAATAAGATAACCACTACCTAAAATAACTGTATTAAAACTGAACTAATTGAGAAATATGGTTGCGTGAATGGATTTGTTAAATTTAATCTTACAGCGAGTCCAACAGAACCCAATCCAAAGACAGCAGTGGTGGTTCCTTCCTTCACATTGGCAGTGTTCCAAGCTGCTCCCACACCTACCATATTTGAAAGAGACAACGAGAAATAAATTTTGTATCTGAAAGCAAGGTCCTATCTCCTCCTATGTTCCCTAGCTAGCTACTCCCAGAGCTCACTATATTATATCCAAAAAGAGATTGTAATGACAATTTTTATATATCCCAAAAGGAGAATAAAAATTCATCAATGTTAAGGAATACTATAGCTTGACCCACACATCCATGAAAGTGTTTGATTTACTTGTTTATAAAATAAGTATTTATATTATATAAATGGTAATATATTAACTCTATTAAATTATATTATAATAGTACACATTTCTAAACATAATAATAATGTAGTTTATATCGACTATCTTTATTGAACCATCAACAGTATCATTTACATTTCTTTATCAAATATTTATTGTATTAGATTTTATTGGACTATTATTTATATAAAACATAGTAAAATAATATATTTACAGAATAATTATTATATATATATATATATTGATTATTTTCATTTGGATTTACTTTTTTAGTTATTACCAATAAACAATGCAAAATACAACTACATAGCTTTAAGAAAAATATTATGTTATAAACTTAGTAAATGGATGTAGTTTTGAATATAGTATTTTTAATTTCCAAAAATATTTATATAATATATGAGTTTAGGATTTAGTTCTTAGAGTTTTTTACATTTTATTAGTGCTTAAAATGCTATTACTTTTTCAATAGATGATAAAACACCGTTTACTGAATTTAAATCAAAAGAAATCTGAACTATGTAGTTAATATGTTATAAAATATAAAAGATAAGTTTATTATAGTATTAAATAAATTATATATAAATTAATGGTGGGTTTATATAAGTGTATTTGACTAAACCCAAAAACACAAAATGAAATCAAATGAACTATAATAATAGATAATATTATATTAAATCAACAAATGAGGTAGTCAATAACAGATAATCTTTCAAAGAATACATATATATTTGTTATATAGAAATTTGTTTAAATGAAAATTTTAGTTTTTGTACATAGTTTTCTAATTTTAAAAATTTGTATTAAAGTGATGTTTAAATTTTTATCAATGGTTTGTTTCATTTATTTTTCCCAATGAAATAAAATTAGATACTAAAGAAAATACTGACTGCTATTATGAAAAGTTTTTTTAATTATTGTTTTAAAATATATGGGAAATAATTTATATAAAATGTCATTTTACATTTTAAACGAAAAGATTTATTTTGAAATATCAGATATATTCATTGTTTTGTCATATGAAAATCAGTTTTCAATATAAATAAAAAACATCTGTTTACAATTACTTTAAGTTTGAATTCGTATTATAAAGTATTTATTTTAAAATGGGATATAATCTTTATTCTTTGATAAATCTAAAACAAATTATTGTATATTAGTAGTTCATCTGTTAAAAGTTATTAGGTAAGATCTTTTAATAATTTGATACTTACCAATTGCACATTCAATTTAGGAATGTATTTCTTAAATTATAAAAAGACTAAAAAAATGTTTAAAGATAAGATTAATTATTAACTTCAGTAGCATAGACTCGTAAATAAGTGGTAAATCTTAGAGTTATTTATTATTTTTACTTCTGTTGTAATAAAATAGATGTTGACCCAAATCAATAAGAGATAACTGACCAGTAGATACACCACAACTCAGGAGGCTCATTTGCTTGAGAGGAGCATTAGGATCGATTTTGACAACGCAAGCGGAGTCCAAGACGGTGTATTCAGTGAACGTGGATGTGTTAAGGAAGTGATAAACGCGTTGGCTTTGGCTCGAACTACCGTCCTTGTTTGTGGTTGTTGAAAATCTCGTCCCTCCATCATTAACCATCAGTCTTTTCATTGGATCGACTTTATATCTCTCACAGAGATTACTTACTCCATTGGTGCACACTCTACATTCACCACATTCTCCGTTGAAAGTGGGAATCACATAGTCTCCTTCTTTCACATCTTTTACCCCTTCCCCTACACTTTCCACTATCCTATTATATCCCCCAAGAAAAGAAAAAATTAGTGTCCCGGGTAAGTGTTAAATACGCCAGATATATCAAGAATTGGATTGGCATATATACCCGACAGCTTCGTGGCCAAGAATCCTTGGAAATGCTCGTTCAGCTTCGTTCTTTTAACACAAAAATGATGTTCCAATTAGATTACAATGATAATCAAGAAGCATGATTTGAATCTAGGTGCATGCATTACCACTCCGGTCCAAGCTCCGAGATCGGTGTGACAAATGGAGGAGTAAAGGATTTTAACACGGACTTCCATTTTCTGAGGAGGATCGACGCATATTTCTTGTATTACAAGCGGTTCTTCTGGACCCCATGCAACAGCAGCTACATGCATCACATACATATATGGATCATTATAGACTATCATAATCATCACCACCATATGATAAGACACAGTCACATTGGTGAGTAATGTACTTACCTCTGCAAGTGATGACCTTTCCTTGAGTATCTGCCATGTTCTTGTTGTTATCAGATTTGTCTTTCTAGGAGTGTAGCTCTCTATATATATATGTATACGCACATAATTTATGATTTATATTTGTCTAAATATAGTGAGGATGTTAAGTCACATGTATAATATATCCAAACTAAGTCAGTAATCCCGAGAGAGGTGGGTTTGATCTCAATCCACAGATCTTTCCGGGTAGTTAAGGACCTAATCACCTTCGATGTTTTCTTATTTTGCTTGTGTTCCAACTAATTTTTACATCATGCAAAAGTTTCAGTTAATTTTATCTTCACATAAGATTTGTGAACTCATTTTTCTTCATACACAACATCATTGTTACGTCCAAACATTGAGTACCGATTTGGTACCCCTCCTAATCAGTGTCACGTCATATTGATTTTCATTGCTGTGTGTTTTTCAGACGTAACTGAAACTGTATATACATTGTTTTCAAAAAAATAAGATAATGTATGGTGGAGCAAAGTGGTAGCTTTGCCTGGCCCTGTGGCTGATTGGTATTAAATGGCTTTTAATGGTACAGCAACAATCAAAAAAAATGAATACTGTTCTTTTGATAGTTGTGACTATAAGAAAATCGATGGTGATGATGATGTGTGTACATGTGACAATAGCATAAAATTCATCTGAAAAAAATTAAAAGCTGGTTGCAAAAAAAAAAACATCACCACTTGCTAAATTTCTTTTGTTATAATTTCCTGTCTTAAACCAAGAAAAAATAAATAAAAATATGTGAATAAAACTTAAAATAAATTTTGTTTTTAAAGCAAAATATAAAAGGGTTTCTGGATGGAACAACGCATTTGTCATGGTGTTTCTAACTAAACTAGATCGTTGAAAAAAAAATTCATAACTAATTTTCTTGTGTGAATATAAAATAATCCATATTTTTATATCTGTTGTTTATGATATAGTTTTGTTCTTTCATTTTCGTAATAAATTCTTTTAATTAATTTAATAAAATGCCAAAACTGAATTTAGAATACAAAAACAACACGAATGATTATTATGTGTTGAGCTACATATAGAAGGTGTAGTTCTAATTCATGTATAGAATTTGACTCTTATTTTTATTTTGAATTCTTGATAATTTTAAGATTTAGATAAGTTCTTAAGAATTATGTTTGGGACCTAATTTTATGCTAATATTCAATTTATATGTGTATGTAAATTTGGTTTTATAAATGACATTGTTTGAAATTTTTCTCTTTATTACACAAATTGTGTCATTTATAATTTCAATATAATTTTAGGGTGTTCAGCAAAACCAACCCACAAATTAAAGTCAATTGCAAAACCATTTATTTTTTTGTCATTACTATTCATCCATGAAATTTCCAAACCGTCCTTAAGTTTTTGAAATATTTACAGAACTGTCATTATTATTTGTTTTTTAATTATTTCGAAAATTACAGAAAATCAATTACACCCTAAACTTTTCTTTTTATTTACAACAATGTCATCGTCATCAATTTTCAACCACCATGAACCACCATTTTAAAGCTCTTTAAACCTCTCAAATTCAATTTTCAACCACTTTTTTCTCATTCTAAACCAAATTGAACTTAGAATGATTTTCAACCACGTTAAACCAAATTCAATCTTCACTTCCTCTCATTTCCTCTCTATTTTCATCTAAAAAACTCTCATAACTTTCATTTTCATAAGCATAACTTCATTATTTCGAGTGTACTCTGTTATTGGTCGTCTAAGCTACTTCTTTTTCTTCATATTTGGAGCTTGGACGGTGGAAAAGGGTGAAAACGAGATTTACACCGGAAAAAGGTACCTATTTACATGGTTTTTGTCATTTTTCAGATCTGTGTCGCGATAGTAGACTGTATCATATGTCTACGCTTACGTGTAGGCTTACGATGCAGTCTACTTGTCAACGCACAGGTTAGTTTTCCAGTTGACCAAAATAATTGTTTATGCAGATTAGACTTCCCAAGAAGTCTGCATCATTACCTTTGGTTACAAAAACAAAAAATGAGGTAGACTTAAAAAGAAGTATACGTAAAAGAGGTTAGTTTTGCATTTGACAAAACTTTTGACATTTAATGTAGACGACGTCGGATATCTACAGACTGTAGACTTCTGGAGAAGTTTACAAAAAAGTATGTTTTGTATTTGACCCAAATTTGACTCCGTTGAATAGGTTAGTTTTGTATTTGATTAAAATATTAAAAAGTTGACAAAAAAAGAAAAAAAAATGTAAACTTTAATTACAGTACACTAATTTAAAAAAAAAAAACAATAAACATCACATGAAGTCTACTATTTTATTTTGGTCAAGTGAAAAACTAACCCCCGGTATTTGTGGGTAGACTTCGTATGAAGTCAACATGTATGTAGACATTTGTTTCCGTTTACTAATAAAAATTCAAAATTGGTCAATTGTAAAACTAACCTCTGTCAAAAAAAATTCAAACATGTAGACTGCTTCTAAAGTCTACTTTAGTAAGTCAAATCTTGGGTGATTTTTGGTCAATTGAAAAAACCATATTTTTTATATGTAGACTGAAATAGGAGTCTACATGTATAACTCACAATTTTTTTTCAAATATAGAAAGTAACCCGTAAAATTTTCAATTGCAAAAACTGACCTAAAGAGAAGACTACATACGGAGTCTACATGTGTAAACTGTAACGAACGTCTACATTGACGTATACATGTGTAGACTGAAATAGGAGTCTACATGTATAACTCACAATTTTTTTTCAAATATAGAAAGTAACCCGTAAAATTTTCAATTGCAAAAACTAACCTAAAGAGAAGACTGCATATATAGTCTACATGTGTAAACTGTAACGAATGTCTACATTGAGGCATACTGCTTATGAAGGCTACGTTTGAAAATATATTAAAAGTGAATATGTGTATTATTCATTAATTTTTTTCAAGATTTTTTTGTTTGATAGTGTGTATTAGGTAATCATAATATGTCTGAGTGATTTTTAAAAGAAAATGTGTTATATTTATGAAATTATGATAATTTTGATTTGATCATGTAGTTAACTCATAATCGTAGACGTATCGGTAAGTCTACTTTATCGTTTTTTTAAACATGATCGCTAACTATGCAAATTTTCATTTTTTTCACAGAAAATGGGTCAGTTACCTGTTGTTGTGTATGAACTTATGTTTAATTTGTAGGCTTCTTTGGTATTATTATGAAGTGTTAAACAAGTCTGATTTCCATAATGTAGACATTTTTAAATGTGTACAATAAAAGCAGACTTCTTTATTAGTCTACATGTAGGAAAATAGACAAACACTAAAGTCTACTCTCTTTTATTGCTATTGAGTTGTATTAATTTTTATAATTAGTCTCTTTTGTGTTCAAAATCTCTAAAATTGCTATAAAACAAGTCTTTAGATTACATAATTTTAACACATTTGTTATTGTGTGTGTTAGTTGTTGTTTTAGTTTTTGGTGGTTTTTAATTGTTTGGCTGACTAGAATATTTTCTGAAACACTGATTGCTAACAAAAATTAATAATATCATAAAAGTGCAACATAATTAAAAAATTAATACAATATTTATTGATTATGTCTCAGAATATTTATTTACAAATGATTATTTTGTAAAGATAAATTATTACAAAGCAATTTTTTAAAAACTCTATAGTGTTTGATTATTCATAATCTTGATTTCTCAAATGAAATCTCGGAAAATACTACATGCAAAATAAGATAAAATAATGAGTAAACATAAGGTAAACATATTCAAATTATTTTTAGTAGACTTCATAAAAATCTACTTAAAGTTTATGGGTTCAATAGACTTTATTTAAAGTCTACTAGCCTTCATTTTTAAACAAACTTTATGCCGAAAATAATTTCAGATCTAAAAATATACAATTACAAAATTAGAAAATATTAATTTCTGCAAAATAATTCAAAATAGTGTTTAACCTAAAACTAGCAAAGAAAAAGCATAGAGCTTGTATCTATAAATTTAGTTTTATATAAACAAAGAAAAAATTTAATGAATATATGTAAATCTTACATTTTTGGAAGGTGATTTGAAAACTTTGGAAGAGAATACTTGAAAAATAAAATACAATTACGAAAAAAATATAAGACAAAAAAACTAAAATCATATTAAATTTAATAAAACATTAATAATAAAATTAAAATAGTAATGAAATGAAAAAAAAATTACATGTTCCACCATTTAGTTTATTCAAATTTGGGATAAGTTGGTGGAAGCTTCTGAAGAATTATAATCAGAGATAGGCTAAGAAGCTAGAAATATTTTTTTTTGGGATTCCACCAACTCTATGACCTCGCTCATAACAAGATCCTGAATTTCGTCCGATTTTTGGTTAATGTATGCCTCTTTTATGACATCTAGATGATTAACGGGATTGTCTTCATTTGCTTTAACCTAAACAAAAAAATTAAAGAATAAAAAAAATATAGAACTTGCAAATCGATCCTCCTCAGAAGATATGCTGCAAGCATATAGGTTATGGACAAAATACCTTTTCCGCCACGATCTCTCTTGCGGTTAGCGGAGTTTTTGAGTGATTTATCTATAGTCGCCTGCTCCTAGGCCTGGCCAGAAAAACCGGAACCGAAAAACCAAACCGAAACCGAACCGAAATACCCGAAACCAAAACCGGACCAAAATTCTTAAATATCCTAATTGTTCCTATATTTCTATACCAAAAAACGAACCGAACCAGAACTGAACCGAGAACCGTACGGGTACCCGAATATCCGAAAAAACAAGTTAATTTTTTTTAAAAATAAGATAAAATGACATCAAGCCCATTTGAACCCAGGTTAGATACAAAGAGTAAGTATATTTTTACCACCAGGCCACGTTATGTTTTATTTATTCTGTTATATTATAAATATATATGGTATTTCTATATTAAAATATGATAAATATTTCTTAAATTAACACCTTATTGACTCGAACTCTTGTTGGATTGACTAATATGTAAGCGTGTAAACACTAGACCATTTAAATCAA